GCTCCCAATCTGACTGCACTTTTCAGCCTCAGCCGACGAGATATTTTACGTTTGTCTTTTCACTCGGAATTCGCAAGGCACGTATCCCCCCTCTCCCCCCCCCTCCCGGTCCAACCGCGCGAGCGGTTTCTTTATAATTTCTTTTACATTTTTATTGTTATGAAATATCACCGCTTAATGTATAATACCATAAGGGTTGGGCTCGCGCAACGGTGTGTCCGTGTATCGTGTGTCTATCGATAACTTTGTATCTGCTGTTGTCGCACTCGAGATATTCGAGATGTTTTGCTAATGTTAATGCGCGCGTCAATAATTTCTCGTACGATCCATGTTCCAAATCGAAGCGTGCCTTACATATCGATTTTTTTTTTATGTCGCACTAACGGTACTTCGTAGCTCCCTGTCTGAACCGCCACTGCGATACGTTGCTAGTGCGAATAGAAGAGTGATTTTATTCGAAGATATCGCGAAAAAAATAGAAAAAATTTACAGATCGAAATACGTTCCAACCGAGTACGATTCGGGAAACATATTATACCTAATTCGTACCCAACACGAGGAATTGTTGCACTATTACTCAGCCACAGATAAAGATATTTGCAATCAATAATAATGAACAAAAAATAACAGTAAATACTGACAAGAATCTTTCTATCGTGTCTATTTCCCCTCTCTGTGTATACTTAGGCCTTACCGATAATTTAATTAATATTAATTAACAACCTGAGTGGTCGTTATCGATGAGTGGTCGATTGCGCATTTTTATCTAATTTTAACTCGACGCGGAATGTTGTTTGCGCGTGCCTCCCACAAAATAAAATAAAAATAAAATAAAAAAACTACGCAGCGCTCGAGATTACGTATAATTAATAATCAAAGAAATGTTCGCAGCAACTGGAACGGATGTCGCATGTTTGCGAGAGTTGATGCACGGCGCGATCTGTATTAACTTTTTCCCGTCCATTGTAAAGCGTCGTCTGATAATCGATGGAATTTCCTTAATTAATATCGACACACTTCCACACTACGGTTCACCGACTTTATTCCAGTTCGACTTTCGCCTCGCGGGCGTTTCTTTGGAACAACGCCGAGACAAAGCTCATCCAGCACCACCGCCGTCGTCGTCGTCGTCGACGACAACGACGGCGGTGCAGAGGTGAATGTCGTAATGGCTCTCGATTGGTACCAATTTATTATTGTTTATAAATATTTGTTGAAACTGTACAAGCGCGCTTTACATAAGACCAATCGATCAGCTGGTCTGCCGATTGACGAGTGCGATCGTGCGTCAGGACGTCAAGACGTCAGGACCGATCCTTGTCTCAACGATATAAACGAGATTAATTAAAGTACAGTCCAACAGAAGCACGGTTTATCTTAAAGACAAGGCAAATATTGAACCGATTTACGATTCGTCGAAAGAAAATAATGGTTTTCGCGACGTCATTTGACCGATTTTTATCCACAGCTGACACAACACTTTGTTCAAACAAAATGCCTTCGTAATGAAGAAACAACAGGAAGATAAGTCTTAAAATGGCAGTAGAGCGCGGAGGCATTCGCCGGTGACCATAAAAGTTTCCATCAGGTGGTTTCCACGCTTATGCTACGTAACCTGATTAGCACTTGTCCTTGATCATTACCCTTAATAAAACTTGCGCCAACTATAATCGTAAAGACACTTTTGTCGCGAAGAAACAAAAGAAGGTGAAGGATGAACAGATTATCAACCGCGATCGTGCGTATCGATTGTCTCCCTTTTCAAGCGGCCTGCTATTCGACACTTGACAGATTCACAGCCAACGTAATATTGCAACGTCAAAGCAACACTATAACAATTTCTTGTTTTTCATAAGAAACGTTTAATCGCGGTTGATCGGACTGCGCAAAATTCGCCTAGGTCACATCTCACGGGGTAGCAAACATTCTCGGGAGGCGTAGATTTCATCTCAAGTGTTTATATAATGCCGCGTATCGCGTTGTATACATTGAGGTACGAAACCGTATCTCGCAAAGTTGACTCCTTTCTACGCAGATGCACATAAAGGAGTTGTGCGTGTGTTGCACAAGAAAATAATAATATCATAAAGATATGATATTATTATAGGGAATATAATGTCAATATTAAAACGTGATGCAGCTTTGTACTGTCAAAACTATCATTCATCCATGACACAGACACGAAGGTGCGTCATGGATGAATGACATCTCTAGTATAAGAAGAGTGGCTGAGTCAAAATGAATTGATATGTTACTTTTTTGCTTGTACTATAGACGATAGCTCGCCTAAAGGCTTGTGCGACGGATTACCGTCGTGTTTTATGAAAAAGGTGTATTATTAGTAACCGCTGCTGAAGTTCAGGATATATACGTATTTAAGAGATTGTAATTTAAGTTGTTTTCATGAAATTATCTAATCTAATTGGTTCGTGAAATTACTTATAACTTCAGTAGGGAAAAGTTTATTTTATCGACTATATTAATTTCAATTTATCCAAAAAAATAGATGACTGATGTGCTGACTGACGTACGATTTAAGTATCTTTACCCTGTGAAAGATATATACTTCGTTTGTCCATGACACATTCTATATGACAGTTTCGACAGCTCGATGCTCACCATGTGTCAACGTCAATATTCCACGTCTTATTTGTACTGTGTTATTATTGTCAGCACGTCAGCCGATGATTATTCCTTATTAGGAATCAGGCAACATTGAGAAGCACCTTCTCGATCTCTCGATATTATTATATGAAGAATTTATATGAAGAATGTCCAAAAACAGTCTCATTATTTTCTGATACATTGTACTTGAACGTGTGGACTTTAGGCACTGATCGGTTGACTTTAAACACTTTTAAGTTTTAATTTTAAAAGATTACTGTTGTTATTATTATCAGCCTTAACATTTTTCAGCATGCTACAGAAAAAAAATGTATCTTTAATTTATCTTTAAATTTTCTAAAAAAAATACCGTTGACAATTGGTTCGGTGAAGCTAAAACTTTTCGTACATGTACACGATATGTATATTTTATTAACAAAGTTAAAACAGCAAGCTTACGGTATAGCCAGTCAATAGGCTATTGAGGATCATTATGTGCAAACTGGCAAATTACTATATACAAGGCTGTACAATCGAGTCAGATGAATAGAAAATGAATAGAAAAATCACCTCCTGTGGAGACGAAATTATTATCGACATTAGTCTGCCCTTTTCTCTAATTTATGTAATTTTCCCTATGCAATTCTTCTACACAAAGAACCAGATTTCAACCAGATTGACGATTCTAACGTGAAATTAGATTCATGCAAGCAGATGGTAATTCTACAAATGTTGATTGACAAAATGTATCAAAGCTTTGAAAATTTAATTAAAAAATGAATTTTATCCTACACACAATTTATAATTTAAGCAGCAGTAACATATGAGTTACGTAAACAAAGTTTAACTTTATCGAGACACCTCCGATCTCTCTCTCTCTCTCTCTCTCTCTCTCTCTCTCTCTGTCTCTGTCTCTCCTCCCTCTCTGCAAATCAAGAGAACACAATCATGTAAATCCACCAAAGTTCAATTTGCGAAGCCATAAGCTGATCATCGTGTCGGTACGATCGACATCTATACGCGCACTTTATGTAAGTTCAAGTCTTATTAACTAGGTTCTCCAGTTATAAAGCTGGATTTCCGTCCTTGTTTAGAGCACACCGTTGAAGAGTTTCGAGGTTGTTTCTGTAACAGCGGACTTATCGCTCGCACGTAATGCTTTTAAAGGGTGCAGCGAGCCAAGTTCCGGAAACTCGGCCAAATCCACGCACATTATTTGATAGCAAACTCGCGCAAACTCATTCAAGGGCCGTTAACCCTTAACCCTCTTTATGAATATTTCCTATTTTCTCAAGATTTCTACGATATTATTGAGGACGTTCATGAGTTCACCGTTCTCGGTATAATTATTGATATGATCTCGACGGGGTTAATCCCCCGGAATTAAGTAATCATAAATATTCTGAAATATGCTATCTCAATAAATAAAATGACCATATGAGGGCCTGAGATGCTATTAGATATTAGATGCGTGAAATGTTAAATCATAGTAAACAAAGTTATTTAAATAGCAAGCATTTCGATTTCAATTACTCGAATCTCTCGGGATTACAGAATTATTCCTTTAACGGACGTGCGTCAACTTCATAGCGTCCCTTTAATTTCTAAATCGACAAATCGAAATTATCGCGTGCGCAGTAATAAGGAAATATCTCCTTGCTATTCAAATCGGCTTCGTGAGTCAGTAATACTACGTACGTATACTTATCACAGCTGATTCACTGCATAAGATTAGAATGAAGAACACAGTTTCGGATATTTTTGCGACTTGATTTCTACTCTCATCGATATCTAAACTATTCGAATGTAGTAGCGTAACACGAATGATCTACAAAAATGTAGGACACCATCTTAGAAAATAGATCATTTGTAACACGTATTTATACAAGTTTTTATGTGAAAATTAAATCGAAGGTACACAACGAACTTTCTCTGCCACGAGATAAATTTTTCGATTTTGTGAAATGAAAAATTAATAATATCGTTCGCGTTTTCAATAATTTTCAATAACTTCTAATAACTTGGCAATATATATTGTCAAATTCGTTCAATAAACAGCTATCAAAAAATGCGTGCGTATAAACGAAAGAAAATATGTTTATCTTCTATAATGAACTCCTTCGAATTTTCTTTCTTTTTTCTCTAACAGTTACAAAACAATTAAAATGCTTTCTGCGATTTTAGAAAAAAATGTACCCTTTTGATTTTTCGCTACAATTTACCTAGCCTATCGAGGAAATATTTTCCTCGATGGAAACCTACGAGAGAGAGAGAGAGAGAGAGAGAGAGAGAGAGAGAGAGAGAGAGACAAAGAGAGAGAGAGGGAAAGAGAGGGCGTGGAGGGAGGGAGAGGACGTTTAAATACGAGCAGAAGCGCGCGCGCTACTTCAGTCCGGCACTAACAGTCGAAACTGATTCGTATCCTGATCTCAAAAGAAGGCTACGATCTCTTGGCAGCCTTCTTTCTTGTCGATTTTCTTCTCAAAGAGATCACCGAGAGAGGAAAACGAATAAGACAAGAAGCTCTCTCTGAGAGCAGGAGATATCGAGGAGGAAGGAATGAGATAACCGCACAGGAACACGAGAAGAAGCCGCCGATATTCCTCTGACATTCCGGACGGCGGTTTTTCGATAAAATCAAAAAGCCGGATTGAACACAACGGGAGAATCTAAGACGAGCGTAGTGTGTTTCTTTTTGGTGGTTATGTGTTAGTGAGAACCGACGAGAATACAAGGCAAACGTGGCATAGAAGCAACAGTCTACTAGTCGCTATGACCAACAGCATGAAGCAAACGGTTATCAAGTAAGTTTGCCACAATTGTTATTTGTCGGGGACAGCAATAGCGACGAGAGGATACTCGCGAAAATGCATTCCTCGAGCGATTTTTCCCTGCTGCTGTAGCCGCTGCTGAGCGTTCTAACTATAATTAATCAACTTGTACGATGTAATTTTGATGACATAACTTTGATGGCAAACCGGAAATAAAAAATACGGTAATGTTCCAATAAGGATAATCATAATTTAAGAAATAGCGGATAAAAACAATAGCGCAAGTCATTGTAATACCGTAATATATTACATCTCATGGTTGTCGATTTCACAAGCTCCGCGAATCTTTTTGACCAATGTGAATCGCCCCAATTCTCACGCATGCGTGTGAATCCTTAAAACATAAATCTACGATCGATTTATCCACAGATTATCTAACGGAAATTGCAGAAATTGAAGAAATTCTCGGTCACGAGCGATCGTGAGAATTCGACAATTTCACGAGTCGAGAAACAGTGCGAGAGAGCGACCGAAAGTTGCACATTTCATGTCATTTTGAGCAAACCTTGTATTACGTTCGATGCCTGGGCCAGCAATTTTCTCACAAGTATTTTCTCGACTTTTAAGTAATCACATGAGGAACTTGCGCGTTTATATGAAAAAAAAAACGCGTGCCTTGCAGCAGCAAACTACTACTACTACTACTACTACTGAGCCGTCGTCGCTCACACCGGAACACTCCTCGCGTTCTTTTCTCCCTTTTGCCAATGTATATTAGCGAAACCTTGCTTTTACCGCGGCTACAGTCGCGGACTTATGCAACGTTGTTAAAAACTGGTCGTCCGGTGAAACCAGGTGAGATCAATCGCACGGTAGAGGCGCATTTCATAAGAGATGAAAGTCCTTACTTGCGATAACGATTTCTATCGATTGTTACGATCATCATATCGGTACGCCCATGTATCGAATGATCATCGAACAATTTTCTTCTTTTGCGAGAACAAAAATTCCGTGCACGTGGGTATATAACGTGGGAATGTCAAGTAGCCGGGAGCTAAAACGACGTTACAGTCACACACGTGGCGTCGCAAAATGAAAAAATATATGTCCTATTTTTACAGATATCGATTTTTGCATTCTCACCACAAACATTCCACGCTAAAAGAGTACGACCGTATACGATCCTGAATGTTTAATATTCATGAGATTCATCATGACTCTTTTGTTCCAGTGTGCGAATTCATAAAATTTGATATGTTCCCGAGTTGGAAAATTCTCACTTTTCACGGACTAATGCCGGAAGAGAAGATTCACGCTCGGCTCCGTGATCACGATTCGCGTCGCCATAAGCATCGCTCAACATGACAATACGTTACTTACTTTCATGTAATTGCATTGGATATACGTTACTGAATTTAAGATACATGGCCATACATATGCAAGTACTGTACACACTGACAATCGCGTCGTATTATTCTAACTTTACGATCATTACGTAACGCGACATTGCCTCGCAGTTATTGCAAACGAGCTTCGCGATATGTAAATGTTGCAGGTGCCGAAGGCTGCAACTGCAAATCGATGACTGAAAGAGGAAATACGATAACGTCATATATTCGCGCATCTCGTTCTCATTCGTCATTCGTGATTCGACTTTTGCATCATCATCTTTGTCCATTTTCAAATGGTTACCACTCACACTACGCTGTACAATGCGGCATCTCGTCGCCTCTCTCGTCGATTCGATAATTACGATGTGGATAATAACTGACTGCAGAATCGATCGGAATTCACGTTAAAAAGCGAACTGATCATTCGACTACACAGGCGTTCCGATTAAAGTCCCCTCCCCCCCCGCCCGATTAAGCGGTAGTTGCCGCATAATGCATCTTGAATCGCCGCGCGAATAAGAGAGCGCCCGATGCCCGAGATCTCGCGATTTCAATGCACGCAGGCCGCGCAAGCCGATGATAAAACGTATCCAGGCATTGATGTTACGCCGAGGGCCAGGCCGGCTATCGCACAGAGAAACGGTGAGGAAAAGAACGACGGCTCGAGGAAAAGAAATCCGCGAAACATCGCTGCGAAACTAAAATATCTAGCTGATTAATGTGTGCGATTGTGCGTCTCTATCTTCCCGCCGATCTTGACCTTCCGCCTACGTGAAGAATCCATTGTAAGCTTCTCGCCCGGGGACAAACGTATCCTTCACGCGTCGCGAGGACACGGCCAAGTTTCGCATCGTGTCGCGACTCCTAAGCGCCGAGGACCTCGAATCGAGAATCCGGGATCGTCCAAGAATCTCGTATGAATCGCCCGCGCGTCGTCGGAGGGACGGTGTAATATTTAATTACAACGTTACACGTGCGAAACATTTGTCGGAGACCGCGCGCAGCATTTAATGAGACTAAAAAAGCGTCGTCAAAGATTTCGGCTCGCCCTCGACTATAACGACGATTTATACGCTTCGTTGAGTGCTCTCAACGGTCGTTAGCACTCCATTTTAATTGCCCAACAGGAAGGTTACAACTCGTGACTTCGTGATTTCTAATTGAAGACTGAATGTCGTTATTATGTAATGCGGATCAAATACCTGCTTATCGCTGAAAAATTACAGACCGATTAAAGATCGCGTAGCGATTCTAAAGGAATTTTTACGTATTACATGTTATGCGATTTTTACTGAGGAGTAAAAATACAGACTATCTGATACGAGCGAAATCTGTCTTACGGCGACTAGAAACTGCTACTGCAGGGAAGTAATTCCGTATGCTGAGAGAGAGACCGACACGTGGCGAGTGGCGAACTTGTCGAACTCGCAAACGTGAACGAACGAACGAACGAACGGTCGGTTGTTTCAGCGCGGTGTTCGCTCAGGTGAAAGTCTCGCGCAAGGTGCGCCGAGCGTTGGAAGCGTTTATGTTTCATGGTGCAAGTTTACACACAAATGTCGGTCTCCGTGTTTATTACGCGTATCACGACAGCGCGATACATGCAACGTGTGTGCGTAAAACTCGCACGAGCGGGCGGATCCATTTAATTTCCTCGCGAGAATAATCGTCACGTCAGAATCGATTTCACGGGACTTGAGTGGTAAACTTAGCGACGAATATCTTACGAGATATCTTATCGAGACGTACGCAGCGAAGATTAGCGTCGATCTCTCGCCCGAAGTGAGAGAGAAATTCGTATTATTCGTATTATTCGCGCGCCATAATGCGCTTATGAATGCGTATTATAATCTCTTGAATTATAATCACTTAACGTCAAATTTCAAATTATTTCTCTTCATTTCGCAAACACTCTCAAACACGAAGTGAAAAATTAATCTTTTTTTTTGCGCGGACGAGTAACCAACCGTACCATAATCTCGATATGGTAGTGTTGCGAATTTTATAACACGTTCTATAAATAATCTGTCATCAGAAACATTGTTAAACATTGTCTTCCTGAGCATAAAGAGAGTCGTTAACCTCGCATCTGACGAATCTCTCTCTCTCTTCTCGCACGTGCTGCGCAACGATAAGCCGGGATGCAAACTCCTAAATAATCTCTAAATAAACATCCGTGCAACCTTGTATCTCTTCGACTTAATTGCACAATCACGATTTCTCACTCGCTCTTTACAACGTCGCCTCCGTATATATTCTTCTACCTGCTAGCGATCGAACGTGCAATCAAACGGCAATAATTTCAGAATTCGTTATGCAAATAACGGTCGGATCGAGCGTCGTACCTACACTGCCCGATCGTTGAGAGTTATTGGCGACTGAATGGGATTAATCCAGCGCGACCCCGTTATATACGTCAGACAACACAACGATGACGAATACTCGTTGCAGTCCGAGACGTGCGGGTCAACATTGTTACGTTCGTTAAAAGGGCAACAACAGGGTGAAACCGCCCTGAGAGACAGGGAGGAAGGACAAACTCGTCGATTCGTCACTGTTGCGATTGACAGAATAGAAGCTGCAGCTTCTCGAACCCCTCGAGCCGTCGAGAAATACCGCACGAAATCGTTACATTTAAAAATATTTGCCAATTATCCGTTTTATTACTCAGCATGCTTTCTATCGATGTTCCGTTCACGTCAGCGCGACATCTCGCACTCGCTGGCTCAACTGGTGCGCCAGCTGAGCTGGCGTATGTTATCATTGCAAATATTTATTATGCCTGTTCTAATTATCCCCCGAGCGCAAAAAGAACGACGCATCTCTCCCGCGTGCTCCCGCGTTACGTAACCGCTGCTCGCGGAAGAGGAAGGAAAAATCTCTGATACGCGGGGATCACGTTGATGTATGTACAAAAGTATATAATCGTTTAGTCGCGCGACTTTTATTAAAGTCGCTCTAACAAACGACGAACGATAAAAATAGAGTATCTCGTAAAGAGGCGTAAGAAAATACAAATAGAATTGCGAAAGTATAATAGATACCGAAATAGATACAGAAATGCCGGCTCCCGAGCAGTGCTTTGCTCAACCGAGCCGAGTTATTTCCATATTTATCGCGCGCGTTGTGTGTTACCTGTGCGATATACAAAAGGAAGCATACGTAAATGAAGAAGAAAAAGAAGCGTCATGTAACTTGGACAAACAAATCGTGTTTATTTGTTCCCTCCAATCGCGTTCGGCACAACGATATGGTTGCAATGATGAAGCCGAGTGTGTTCGGCATTTCTTTGATCATCTATGTAACTCTGGCAGTTTTCATAAGTGTATCTTTAATTTCTCTTGACGTAATCGAGCGCCGCGAAATTTTCGAAGAGAGAGAGAGAGAGAGAGAGAGAACAGAAGAGCGACTGGAACTACTTTTCCTCTCGTGGGGAGAACGATTTCGTAAAACGCGCCAAATCGGCTGCAATTTAATTAATTGAAAGCGACGACGAAATCGTACGTTCCCTCGCGCGCGACGCCTCTCGCGGAAAGAACGAAAAGAAAAATATTGCGAAAGAGTCGGTTGAAGTTAAAAATCGCTGACCGCGGCTACCCTCACGTGACTGAGATTCGCAAATATTCGTGCAGTTACGTGACC